GGCGTTCATTTTCCACATTTAGTCTATCTTGTCAAGTAACCTTGTTAGCTTTTTAACAGCTGAAAGCAGAAATAGAGTTGGAGAAACATGTAATGTGTTCTGTAAATAACATTCTGTTTTTCAACTCTGTAGGCGAATGGAATGCGATACGTGCTCACCCCTTGGACAAAATGCTGATATTTGTAATCAGTGCTACTGCTACATATGTGATAAACTAGCTTCTGAGGTAAGCAGAGCTGTAATCCAGAAATGCACAACTTTGAGTAAACTAAATTACTCAACAGTCTTTTTAAAAGAAATCGCTCTTAAGCACACTAAAAGAATAAATGATAGATGAAACACTATTATTTCAACAGTTCCTCTCCTAAATGTTGATATCTGTCTGCTTCACAATCCTACTAAAATGTGATTGCTGTCTGGGTTTCTTTCTAGTAGTCCAGCAACTAGCTGCTCCAGCTGGACTACTGGATTGATAAATTGGACTGCTTCTCGCTGCACTGGAAAAATGTCAAACTTTTAGATTGTCCTAACCTAAAGTGAGGGAGTGGATGAGTCAGGGGAATTGGGTGGGGGGGGTTTGTTTGGGTTTTTACTAGAATTCAGAAAACTTTGAACTGTGAACAAAGTTGGGGTGAATGTGCAATGGCAGTGCTCTGGTACCGGTTTACAGCGGGGAGGGTGTCTACCCTAAGTGTCTCTGTAAGGTATTCAGGAATGATGGTAAACTATTATGGGCGCTTTTTTAAGTTAGCTATGATATTGAGTCATTGCCATATTGGTTTCTTGCCCTGACTGTCAAAAGGCTTCACTGTGGCTTTGCCTAGATGTGTAAAGGATGAAATAAACTGTAGTCCTTAACTCAGAGAAAATAACTTCTGATTTGCTCAACTGGAGGGGGGAAAAAAAAAAACAAAACAGACCAAAAAAACCCTCCAAACTTTTCTGTTTTTCACATTTTATGAAATAGTGCCAGAATTGGACAACCCCTTCCCTCTGTCACTGCAATGCCCACAACAAAAGCAAATTCTGGAAGGACCAGCGTGACTTTGCCTTGGCTGGTGTTCTTGTAATGTTCAATTTGGAGATGACAGATATAGATGCAGACCTTCGGCATGGTGGTAAGCATTATGCACTCACACTGTCCTGGGAGAGCTGTGGCTCACTGGGGTTACTCAGTCTGTGGCTTGATGACATTTGTAATCTACAAGGACACCTTGTCTAGTCTCCTTGAGAAGGATTGCTGATTCTTTTCTTTTTTTAAGGTAGCAGCTTACTGTTGCTACTCTCTGGGCACAGTTAGACCAGACACAGGTCTGCAGGTCCAGGGTTTTTTTGCTTCCCTGTTTTCCTTCCCCTGGAAGAAACAACAAAGCTTTCCTGGCCAATAAGATTGAGTGTGAGTAACTTGCTGAATATTTTACATGGGGTACTTGTGATTGTCTCTCTGTTACTTTTAGTGTTGAAAAAAATGCATTGACAGTTTCACATCTGTTTGCTCTCTTAGGAAGTCTTTTAATAAAATTTATCCAGGAACTTTCTGTGGAATATAATAAGTATCTGATTGGAGAAAGAATGCCTCCCACACAACATGAGTGCTTTTGCCTCCCAAAATTGCCTCCTGGGCAATGCAATATCTGCAGATCACGCAACATGGAGGTTGTATACAAGTAAGTGACAACAGAACTCAACTACTAGCAGTACATACTGGTCAGTGCAGGTTTGCTTTCCTTTAGTCAAGTGATAATTAGAATCATGGCACCTGATATAGAAGAAACATAGTTGAGAGAGCTTACTTGGCCAGTGAGCTATTAAATTGCACTTGGATGTAGTTTAAACAGCCCCTTGAATGCATCTTTAAATCTTAAATACAACTTTAAATGCATCTCTTGTGCTATACTAAGACACTTGATAATATCCCTCATTATTATAAACTGGGAAAGCATGAAAGCAAAGTCTGTATCTTTACAAATTTGTTTTTTAGGATGGGGTTCAGCTTTTACTTGATGATATATGCCTTTAAAATGCTTGAAGTAACAGTTGTGTCACTATCTTACAGATGCTTTTCAAGGAAAGGCAAGTCAATTTGCTCTCAAACTGTAGAATGGTCATAATTGCAATTTGTTTACGAAGTACATTATTGCAGATGCTTTATCTTATGGACTACTTCACTTTCTTAGGTATTCTGGAGTTTTTGCGCTGGTAACAAGATTTTTAAATCAGGCAGAAAGAGAGAGTCCTAGAGCTGCTGCTGTCATGTTTCTGGGAGCAGCTAAAGAGATAGCACTTCATAAAGACCCTGCTTTGTAAGTATCCAGTTCGACATCTGGTGTGTAATCCTCATTTGCCTCTCAAAAGGAGGAGACTAAGTGAGAGAGTTCCGCTTTTCCATTTATTAAGCATAAGGACAGTGTAAGCATCACAGTCCTGCCGGCAGCGCAAGGAGAGGGAAAGGAGTATACCTGAAGGAGAACTGAGACTGGTTATGGGAGGAGTTTGGGGGAAAAGAGAAAGTTAAAGTTCGGATGTGAGAGGAAGAAGTTAAGTGGGATTGAGTTAGGAGGAGGGGAGATAATCTCCAAGGAGGGGAAGGAATTTGATATGGGAACTGAGAGGAGGGAGGGTGACAGACAGCAGATAATGGCAGGTGGAGTCAATTCCCCAAGAGAAGGTTCAGGGCAAGGGAGCGTTCCTGAGTGGAGAATGCACAAGATGCATTGTGTGAAGAAACATCTACTTCTGAACTGGAAGTAAGGGAAGGTGTGATGTTCCTTGGGTAATAAGTTTTAGGTGCCTCCCTTAAGTCTGGAGACTGACCTATCAGCTGGGAGGACTGCATGATAAATAAAACCAGACTTTAAATACTTCAGTCTTTACTACTTGTGCTGGTTATTTTCTTGTCTATATCATGGCTGTTTCATGCTTGATTACAGTCTAGCTTGAGCTTTGCTTTGCAAAACCTAAATATTTGGGGGCTTAAATTCAAGGCTTTTTACAAAGGAGAAGTAAATGTGATCTGGGTTCAACAGGCCAGAAACAATTCTGAGGAACTGTCAAGATTCGCAAAGAGCGGGATGGATACGTTATTTGTGAGGTTTTTCTTCATGTGCTTATTATGAGTCCCACAGCATTCACTGCAGTTACATGGGGTGTGGTTGGCCCTCTCATGGGATGGCGAGGTACAGCCCTTCAGAGGCCCTGCAAGAGCAAAGATGTGCCCACAATGGTCTAATGTGGCGGGTTAAAAGATTTGGTACTGCTTTACTCTGTTTGGGTCAGTGCAGGGAACATGTGCTTCAGTAGGTTAGGTACTGCTGTAAAACAGTGTTAATTCTAGAACATGTTTTATACTTTGACCACTTGTTTTCTTCTGTTTGGAATAACTTATTAGCATGATAGTTCCCAATGTTTTTTAAGAAAAAAGTGTTTTCTGAAACAGTTGAGTGTAGAGAAGGCGTAACAGCAGGAAAACCAGCCACACATTAATTACTGCTTTTTTCCTCCCCTCATAGAAGCTGGCAGAACCTTGGTCATACTGCTTCATTAAAGATTGCTGTCCCTTGTCTGTTTCAAAGGTAAGACTTGTCTTATCATATGATGTTGAGACAGCAATGAAATGTTTGCTAGCTGCAAATGCTGCTGGACATTTAAAATGACTTCTGTTAAAAGACATGAAGGAAAAAAAGTGAATGCTTTAGCTCTTAAAAGCCAAAAGTCAACTTGTACAGGTGTACAATCTTATGGTTTTGTAGCGTCAGGAAGCCCTTATCAGGGAACACAACCCCACTGTACTGTCTTAGACACTGTGTGAGCAGAGCAAGAATGGCATGCTGCTCTCTGCATGCAGACCGCAGATGGGTAGCGACGGGCAGAAGAATATAAACAACATGCACTGGTCAGCCTAATGAGCAGGGACTTCAGCATGCCATCAGGTTCTACAGTTGTACACTACAAATCAGGATTTTTAGAAGCTCTCTTTAATATTAGTCCCTTTCTGTGAGGGACAAGGGTAATACCTGCGTTACTTAGAGCCACATAAACACTCAAACCCTTCTTTGTTTCCTCAGAAGAGAATAACTCAATGGGGAGCTCAAAGCCAAGAAGATAGATTACTTTTTGACTGTAGTCTAGGGAGTGCTCTGTAAGGCCAGACCGGAAGGTGGTGTCAGGTAGCTACTTGTGGTTGTTAAGCCAAAGAGTAAATAGTGTCTGTTAAAGATCAAAACAGCAGCCTTGTAGTAATCCACTGGGATGGAGTAGCCAGGGATGTAACATAGTAAAGTTCCCCCAGAGGCCCATGAATGAGGACATCTAGCTCCCTTGGCATAATTCATTTCTCATTTTAGCTTTGTATTTCACCTTTAACCCCAAATTCACTTGCAATGGAAGGTTAATGAATTAAGAATTAACTTTTTTCAGGAGCACTCAAAAACAATTATATATTCTCACTTCTTATTTGAAACTAATGACAGGTATAACCTAAATCCTATATCAGTTTTCATTTTAAATTGCTATTCTTGAATTTTTTAATTTCTTACTTGAAAAGGAATTTTTTTGCGTCCCTCCCCCAATTTTAAGAGTAAACTCTGTGTCAGTATTATCTCCAAGTTTCAGTTAAGATAAGGGTAATTTCACTAGCTTTGAAGCTGCCAGGAACTCAGATTGATCAGATTGCTTATCAGGCTCATCATATATTTCTGCAGTGTTTCTCACATATACTCACTGGGGATCTTTGTTTTAAAACTTAAGACCACAGAACCTTAGTTTCACTGGTGTTTAGTAACAAAGCAATACCGTTATTCACTACAAATCTTAAAGCACAAATGTAAATATAGATCCAAACTGTGTACCTGACATCTAACAAAAAAACCCCAAACTCCTGTAGAATAATTTCCCGTAGGATTAAAAAAACCCCCAACTTAATAGTAATTCATCTGATTTTAAAAGATTTTGATTTTTTTTTTTTTCTTTTCAAAACATAGGATCACAACACAACTTCAGAGGATGCTGGTGTTGTGTGACTTCCCAAAAAGTCTGTATGAAAAATTTGTTAATTTTTTTCAGTCCATCTCACTTCCATGTCACTGTTTTGGCTTCTCAAACAGGTATGTTCTTTGGTTTTTGTCTACAGGATATACTTTTTTTATACAGTTGCTTGATCAGTTTCACTGATAGTATTAGGTGTGAGCATTTTATAGGAAGATTTCCGTATTAGCTGCTTTGTATTTGTCCTGTCCTTACAGGAAAAGTTGTTGTTGTTGTTTGATGCTATGCTTAAATTGTCTATGTAGCTTTTTTCTTTCTTCTCCCC